GTTTGTCATTATGTGTATAATATATAACTTATCATAGCTGTGTGTTTGTAAGTGGGTTATATGGACCAAAGTGATTTTCAGCTCTGTGATCAAACTTTGTTCAAAGTTACTACGAACCAATGAAGCACATTTTGTTTTCATTTTTTCAAGTTACACGCAATAATTTTATCTTCAATGTGAAATGATATTTTTTATTTGTTAGTGTATTTCAATATGTAGAACGAAACAGCTACATGTAGATTCCTTATTATGTGGAGATTGACACTAGCATTGTCACTAAATTTACTATCTAGTATATACAATGGGAAATTTTTACGCAATAGGAACAGCCAGTGCTGTAATTGTCTTAGTTGTTGTGTGTAACTGCACATCTTGAGTTAATGCTATGCTAGAAATGAAACTTTGTATAAAGGGAGTCGCCATTTTTCTCCCATAGTGCATCACAACCTACCGTATACTTCCTGTCAATGCTTTCACAATTATGTGCTTAACACAGCCTCCTGAAAGTCACTAGAGATAGCCATAGTAAATGGTGAAAAAACGGCATCAGCCATTGTGTTCACTGTTCACAATTGTAACAAGGTCAAGGTTTTGCTGTTCAGTTTTCTTTGTGTTCATAATTACCAGCAATTATCCTGTTTTCTTTCCAGTCATCAAAATCTGAATTTCTTTGGAGCATGAGCTGTTTAATTTTTTGTTACTCTATGTAATAACAGATAAGCAAAACTGACATTTGTACAGGATGTGCACAGCACCTCAACATCTGAAAAATGAATCGATTTTTGTTTAAAATTGCTTTCCAGTTATCTGGAAGCTATTAGTTCAGGAATTGGTCATGTGACCCATTTACTTATTGGATGCAACAAAGGTCAACTTAGCTCAGTTTTGTATGATTGGAAAATAGGAAAAAAAAAAATAATCTCTAAAATTTATGATCCTTTAATTTATAATGTTTATTTTTTTTCGACTGAAAAGTGATTGGTAAATATCTCATGAAGTTATAAAATACTGCAGTCGCCCCGCCACGCCACGCCACGCCACCCCCTGCCTCGCCACGTCACGCACGTCCGCCAAGCCCGGCCCCCGCCGCCCTGTGTTAACATGCACTGTGTAACGACTATGATGCTATAATTTCAATGGTGCTTTCTTCATTCATTTAAACTGCTTTTACTCGACTTCTTTGTGGTGGTAATTTCAAGCAATAAATTAATATTGCAAGTATATAAATAAATTTCAATTGTACAAAATTTTATTCCAATATGCTAGTGTAGAAAACGTTGTAAAATCAGTGTCTAGTGTATTCATAACAAGGATGCAGTAGGTTTCATACATTCATTTTAGCATGTACTTTGTTAATCTTGTGTAAACTTTTATTACTTTCTTCTCTTTGGTACTTTACTTTAAAATGTTGTGGAGAAAATATCTATAAAAAAAATGTTTTGCTGGCAAATGTTATTGACACAGAGTATAATAAATGTTATTTTAAAATAAATGTTGAAGTATTGTTGTTTTTTGTATCATGTACCCTATGACAATATTTAAAAAAGAAGTAAGAAATTGTAAACAAATTGTACCCTTCACTTGTATTAATAAAGCCATGGCATACGTTGCCCAGTATGAAAAAAGACCTTGTAAGGTTAATAAAGTTAGCATTTCATCTCTGCCATTTATAACTGATGGTTAATATAACTAATTGGGCAGTAATTATGTAAAATGTTGATATTTTGGGAGTGAACATGGTCATTAAAATCATGTAAAGCGCCTCAGTTGTCTTAACCTGTAGTTTTAGATATATATTCCATATGAGATATATAACCAATATAATTAATGTGCGCTAATGTTTTAATGGTGGCTTGTTGTACATTATCTTTATACCAGTGGAGTCGATCTGGTTAATGGTTTATAATTCATTCTCTGTATCACAGTACATACTGAATTGATAATGTTTGCATTTGACCACTAAGGTGTATATATTTTTTAAATTGGTGTATAATTATTAGTTTTAACACAAGTTAAGAACTTGTATTTTTTTTTAACCAGTTCAGAAAACTGTCATTGAAAATGGACTATTTTGGCATAATTCCATAGAAATCTATGTTGAAGCCTTATTTCATAAATAATCAGAAATGTATCCAACATTTGCCAAATAGTAAATAATATTTGGTAATCGTAGTCCTAAATAACTATTAAAAATAGCTACATGTTTCAAGCAATGGCTCTTTATCGATAGCATATAAGTTAACAAACATTTGCCATGTATGTTTGATCCCACATTGTTCGTGTCAAAAATTAATTCAATGCCCATACTTTCTTACACCAGGGTAAATTGAAAAAAATTATGCATATAGTTTAAATTTGTTTTTTCTTGTATTAAGATTATTCTATACAGAAAGAAGAAGATGCATTTCCAATGTTTAACATTTATTAAATAATGCTTTGAAATACATGGATATAAAAGATGGATTTGGATTGACAAAACATCCTCATAAACAAATATATTCCCCCATTCTACCAACATTCTAAAAAAATATGTACAATTCAAATTGACTGATGCTAGCCTATGTGCAATGCATTATGGGAGAGAACTTCCCATTGTGAAAAATGGCATTGGAGACTACCTGCACATATCAAAATTTTGAAATTAATATTAAAATTCATATCAATAATATATAACTTTTATCCATATCACTGAGCAAGATTGCACAATATAAAAAAAAAAAATTCAGCATAGAAACTAGTGCAAAAATTCAAATTTTGTCATTTGTCAACATACGGGTACTGAATAATAAAAATATTACTTATTTTGACACAAAGACATTACGTAAGTGCATGCGATACTAATATCCAGCAAATATGGTATTTTTCAATAATTTTTTTGTTAATTTTAAACCAAATGGACATAATTTTGGGTATTCAATCAATATCCAAAAATGTTATCACAAGTTTTTGTTTCAAAAGTGTTATATAATTATTGATTTTGACGTGTGTGTTTTTTTTGTCTCAGTACGAATATTTGTTTGTGAAAAACTGGCTATAAAAATAATGCAAAAATTGACATTTTTCATAGGAAGACATAAAAAATGAATAGTAATCATCAGATTTTCCTTATAATTGACAATCATAAGTACCCGTTTTATAACTACATATCATTATTTGACCACATGCATCTATAAAAAATGTTGATATATGGTGAGAACTTTTTATGGCGTTATTTTATGTGAGGCAGAAACTGAAGAAGGGTGATGTAATTCTCGTACAAAGCAAATGCAAATTTTTTAATAGGGAAAAAAACTTTACACTTTATCAATTTCAACATAGGAAAATTTGAAAGATCGTGCCAAATTAATTTTCGTGAAGCAAGTATCATGGCTTTAAAAAGACGTAATTTACAAATTATGTGACGGTTAAATACGACCCTTTGGTCAGATTGTGTGAATCTCGGCAATCTAGCTAGGGGGTCTATTCTAAAGCTTAGAGTTGTATCCTGGGAAGACAAAATGGCGGCAAGTACAACATTGTGGAGGTCGCATTCTCGTAAAACGACAACTTCTGGTCAAAAATATAAGGGGAGTTACAATGTTGTGAGCAGGCTACATACAAGAGAGGTGAGTCTTCCCAATTCAACCAGATTTATTGATCATTTAGTCAGGGAAAATAATACCTCGTTCGAATTACTGTTCGGAACAATGGCCGCAAATAGGTGACCAAAATTGACGGGGAGTTTGTTTTCGTTCGCTGCACGCTTGTAAACAAGGTAAATTATTAGATTGATGACGCTGCCGGCTTTAGGTTCGTCTGTGGCGTTTGGCTTGTTATATACACTAAATGATTTTCTAGGAATGAGGTTCGTATGTGTAGACTGTGTTGCGATTTTTGTAATCTTAATTCGTCTCTATCGATTTGCCACTAATCATACTGTTTACTATCAGGTCTGTCTTTGTAGTATACACTGTACATCTGTAAAACAGTTTGTGTAATAACAGTTTATATATGTGTTATAAGATGTTAAATTTTAATACACTATTCTTATCAAAAGTAATAACGTATAACTACTTTTTGCCATTATTGGTGGTAGTGTGAGAGGAAAGGTTGGGGCTTTCACTTCGAGATGCGACCAGCAATGCACACTATATTCTGTACGAACCATCTGTATTTTAATATTGTGAACATTCTTCTAAAGTATGTTGTTCTACTTTACGCTTTGTCACTCACAAAAATAGTTTGTGTGTATGATTTATGAATCATATGGAATAGCCATTATGACTCACTCTGAGTTTACAATCATCACCTGGAGTCTTAATACTGTAGTCTGCTACTACAATGTTCTTAGGGAAAGCATAGAAATTTATTTATGGTACATTGTATATCACGTTTTCTTGGAAGGGTTTTCAACACATGAAAGCTCTTTAGAAGTTGAGTGTTGATTTTTTTTTTAGCACCATGAAACGGGGGTTGTGTCAATATTCCCGTGGAGTGAGTCGCAACACAGTTCAACAGCACCTAGTAAGGGAATGTTATTTTCTATATAATTATGGCATGATCAAATTTGAATAATATATTATTGAATTTATTCAGTTTTGTCTACTTGTAATCAAGAAAATTGTCCAATGGTTCTGCATGTCTCTGTTGATCTCTTTCAGTCTCTGAATGCTGTTAGTACCAGATTCTGCCGTAAATTTGCCCATCCGAAAAATCGCCTTGGGCGATTTCACGGCTGGTGGGCACTTATCTGGGGTTCAAAATTTCATAAAAAGATCACCAAATATTTTTGGGAGACTTATTTTTTCATTGAAAAATCTGGCAGTTGGCGAAAAAAACTATTGCAGAAGCTAATCTTTTTTTTTTGCTGAATTAAAAAGTGGATTAGAATTTCATTACAATGTCACCCAGTGTCATTTTTCATTTATTTATTTATTTTTTGGCTCCACTGTTGACTTTGTCGAGCCGAGCTTATCATTATGAGTGATTGTCTGTCGTCGTCCATGTCAATGTTTTACTTCTTCTTGAAAACTACAAGCCTGAATTCTTTGATACTTGGTGTATATGTACCTTGGGTAGACCTCTTTTAGATTTGTTCATTTCATGATGATATTTTCAATTCTCTAATTTTGGTGAATACTTTTGTAATTTTTTGTAAAAAGTGATTTTTTCGACTTCTTGTTAAAAACTGCAAGTCTGATTGCTTTGATATTACATATATAGGTACTAAATGTGGATCTCTCTCAGATTTGTTCATTTTGTGATGATATCTTTAATTCTCTAATTTTAGTGAATATTTTTGTAATTTTTGGTAAAAAGTGATATTTTCGACTTCTTGTTAAAAACCGTAATATCGAATGCTGTGATATTACTGGTACATATATACATGTAGATACTACATGTGGACCTCTCTCTGATTTGTTCATTTGATGATGATATCTTCAATTGTCTAATTTTAATGAATATTTTTGTAATTTTTGGTAAAAAGTGATATTTTTGAATTCTTGTTGAAAACAACAAGTCTGATTTCTTTGATACTATACATATTGTTCATTTTTTAATGATATCTTCAATTTTTTAATTGAAACGTGCATTGCTAACAGTGGAGCTATCTCAGCCGACAGGCTGCTTGTTATACATTTTTGGCTCAATGGACCATAGGTCCGCTGAGCCTATGGGATGGGTTTCTGTCTTGCGTCTGTTGTCCGTCTGTCTATCTGTCTGTCTGTGCACGACTTCTCAAAAACCGCCAAACCATTTTACTCGATTTTTGGTGTGTGGATGCCTTGATGAGTGTAGATGGTAATTTGTTCATGAGAAGTCGATCTGCCAAAAATTATGCAAATTATCTCCCCAAAACTCTACTGTGGCGGTCTATAGTTAGAGCGCCATCTATAGTATGGTGTTGGAATAACTTTGTTTATGAATAAATCTGTGCGTCCCTGTGTCGGTCAGTCGAATTGTTTCCGTCTGTGTGGGCAGGTCGATTCTCCTGTTAAATCGACTGAATTCCTTCCAAAGACTGAACTAAAGTGGTTATGGATGTTGTGGAACTCTTGGGACAGACGAAATCGTGTTTGCGTGGAATTTAGTAACTGGCAGAAGTTTTTTCCGAAAGTTGTAGTTGTGTGGATCGACCGCAGAGGTTGCAGTCTGCTGTTGCCATTGTGTTGAACGAAACCGTGGTTGAACCTAGCTGCAGTTCTGTAGCTCACTTGGTTTCGCTGTCAGTTATTTCGTTCGTCGTGGTGTTAACGCGAAACCATAGAGCTACAAAATGTACTGTTCCATCCTATGTGAGTTACACTATTTTACCGAACTGGAATCAGGTCGGGTCGTAACAGCCGTTTTTTTTTTTTCCATTATTTTCGCCTTAAGTTTCGACCTTTCTACTGTCGATGGATCTCGAAACTATTTCATCAATTATTTTGAGG